TAATGAAAAAACCCATTGTGTATCCATCTGGACCTGGGGCCTTGTCAGTTGCACACATCTTCAAACAGCTCAGGACTTCTTGTTCCTCAAATTTACTCTGTAAAGACTCCTTCTCTGATTCAGAGATTTTTGGATTGTTTCTGAAATTGAATGTCAGTCTCCACTCTTCAGATTCTGTGTATAACCCCTTGTAGAATTCAATGATTACATTCTTTATTCTGTCTGGCTCCTCTACTGCTTCATCTTGAATCATTAGTTGATCAATATTGCTGTTTCTCTTGTGTGCATTGGCAGTACGATGGAAAAACTTTGTATTCCTATCCCCTTCTTTGAGCCACGGAGCTCTTGATTTCTGTCTCCATGCACTTTCTTCGTTCTTGAGGTGATCCTCAAACTCCATGAGGGTAGCTGCCTTCCTCACTGATTCCTCCTCTGTCAGAGCTCTTAATTGTTGTGTTGCCTCAAAACCTGCCAATTGACTCAACAATTTTGATTTTTGCAATCCCAGATTTCCTTTACAACTTCTGCTCCATTCTTTTAGCTTGCCTTTGAGAGCTTTTAAATTGCAGGCTAAAATATAGTCTGGTCTTCCTGGAAATTCGAAAGATGTCCACCAGTTTCTAATTCTGTCATCAAAACCTTCTACGTTCAGCCACCAATTTTCAAACTTAAAGTATGATTTAGCTTGTTCCTAGGCACCACATCATAGAGCCACTAGTGAATGATCAGAAATCATCCTTTGTTGGAGAGTTTGCTTGATATTTTTGAAGCTTTCATCTCATTCTTCTGAAATGAGAAATCTATCAATTATGGAAGCGGTTGTATGATTATCCCCTTTGAACCAAGTATAGTAGCCTCATTCGAGTTGAAGATTTATCAACTCCATGTCTTCTATAAAATCCGAGAATTCCACCATCTCTCTGGACCTCCTCGAGCATTCCCGTTTTTCAGAAGGGTACCTTGTGATGTTGAAATCACCACAGACTACCCAAGGGCCTTCCATCAATCCCCTCACTGCACCAATTTCTCTCCATACTGTTCTTTCTATTCTGCAATTTGGAGTATACACTCCTGTCATATGACATTGAAAATTCTGTAAAAGAGCCTCGAACTTGCATGTCAAAGTATATGCACCAGTTTGTAACACCTCCCCTTTCCATACTCTGCAATCCCATAATAACAAAATCCCCCTCTCGTACCGCTAGCTGCTAAACATGCGTACTTTACCCATCTCCCACCCCAAATTTGATTGACTATTTCCTTGATATCCCCATCCACTTTTGTCTCCTGCATACAGATAATGTTTGCCTTCCAATTCAGCACTTGACTTTTTATGATCTCCCTTTTCTTCTTGTCATTTAATCCCCTTACATTCCATGAAATTAAATTGATCTTCATATTGCAATAATAGATAGATATCTTCCCCTACTCCTTTTCCCATCACTCTTGAATTTGACATCAAAGGAGGTTAATCCTTTTAATTCCAGTGAGCCTTTGAATCTTTGTTTCTTCACCTCCATCTCTGTCTCCACTCTTCTAACTTGTCTGCAACTGTCAATTTGTATTAGTAACTCCAATGCTTCTTCTTCATGGCCTTGAAAATCTACTCTAAATATTTTCCCAGTTTGATCATATTTTGATGGACCAACAGTGTTGCATCCATCTCTTTATCCATTACTAGATTGTGTTGTTGTACTGATATAGGAGTAACCTCCTCGATTTCCCAATCTTGGATAGAGTTGAAGTGCTTTAACTGTTGTTGGTGCTCCAATGCATTTTCAACTTTATCTTCCCCATCTTTTTGTTTATGGTATGCTCGCCTTCTGTCCTAGTATTCCTATCTCTGCTTCACCTTTTGGTTGATCGCAACTTATATGTGTTGCCTGTGGCATAATTTCAAGGTTTGCAATGGGAATTGGATCCCCTGGATTGGATTCTTTGACTTTCAAGTAAGAGGTGCACACCAGTTCCTCAATATAAGTCGTCAGCCTAATTTCATGAGTGGCCTCACACGAGAGATCATTAAAAATGACTTGTGCAGCCAAATCAGACTCATTTGATTTCAGCTCATTATTCGCCACATTAATGCATAGATTTGTCGAACTTGAACCTTGCGTATGTTGCACCTGTGCCTTTCCCTTATTATTATTTTGCAATATGGTGCATCCTATTTGGTCGCCCATGTTTCTCTCTGCACCAAAGCTATGTGTGTTTCCGACGACTTCAGCTCAAATCTTGCCTGTTTTTCAGCCTAGATTGGGATGAAAAATTTGATCCCTTCTCTTTCAATCCCAATATAATTAGGAATCTTTCTGCCGTCACCAACAATTTGAATTCTAGCCCACTTAAGGTGATTTTTGAGATCCGTTTCTTCTTCAGTAGCTATCCATCCGCCACAGATATCTCCTATTTCTTTGAAGATCTTTTGTGACCACAGATGTAAAGGAATCCCCATGGCTCTGATCCAGCATGTTTCCACAATTTGAGAGTTTGGAATGCATCCAGCAGTGTAGTTCCACCATTCCAGATGAAGCTTGAACTTTTTCCATCTCCAATCTCCTTGCAGAATCTGTTTGTATCTATTCGGAAACTCAAATAGAAACATGTTGCCAGTCATTTCATACATGTTGACTCCATATGCTTTGTTCCATGAAGCAGTAGCCCATCGCCTTATGTCTGCTAAAGTGGGTTTCTCAGTGATTCCTTTCCCAAAATACCAAATAATGCATCTTTTTAGTAAACCTGTGTTCTCCGCTCCTGGAGGTTCCAAAACAGAGATATCTCCATTGTTTGTACTGACATTGCCTCTCGAAGGGTATTGGATTTTCATTTACTCTCCTTAACTGCTTTGACATAAGGATAGTTGTCCACAGTGTTTCTGGGTGGTACTGTGGTATTCAGCTTGGGGGCATGATAGATGAATCTCTCTCTTAGCTGCTATGTCTTTCCAGCCTGCATTCAAAGCTAACTCTGGGATTATAATAACTGACCTCCCTTTTCCCTTTAGTGACAGAATACTCATATATCTTCCATGAGCGTTAAATTTCCTAGTGCAGAAATGTTCTGTCATTTGGTCCTTATACTTCCATCTCCTCACTAAATTCTTTTGATCTGTCGAGGCTTCTTTAAGTACAAAGCAAATCCATTCCATTGACTTTCTACCCATGGATAAGTGTCTCATCATGTTGCGGCTTCTCTCTACTCATTCAAACAATATATCTTTGTTGGAGTTCCATCTGGTGATGTCAAAAGATTTGAATCCGGCGTTGAATTATATCCTGCTGTCTCCCATAATGTACTTACCCGTTGCTCAGGTTATGAAAATTATAGAGGGTGTTTGGTAGTAATCACAGTTGGTGAATGCTAATTCCGAAGAAGGAGATGTTTGGCTCCGTTGAGAGGCTCCCTGTAATGGTATTCTGCTTGAGAAGAAGAAGAGAGAATTTTGTTTTGAAGCTGAATGAAAAATGATTGAAAAATGGCCGGAGAAAAGCTTCACGTCGCCGGAGAAAACTAAAAGTGGTCGGAATCTAGATCTGCAAGGAAGGGTTTGGTCGGAACAGGGTGATGAAAAGGCTGTCCTGAAGAAAAAAGTTGAAAAGTTGCCTGGATTAGGCTCACGCACCGGCGCATGTGGGAGTGCTCGCCGGCGCATGGCGGCGCGTGGGAGATCTGATGTCGGAGCTGTTTGCAGGGGTAGGCACATAAATACCTATGACTTGTTTTGGACCACAAATTTCAAAAGTCTTTCTTTCTTAAACTCCATGCTCAGTCAAACATTGCCGCATAAAATGGGACATAGGGAGTATGTCGTTAGTAATTAGTCACTTGTCTAACAACTCAAGTAGTTATTCTACATTTAAATATACAATATTGTATGTAATATTATAGATTGATCTCCAGCTCAAGCTTGATTAAAAAAAGGGCAGCCCGGTGCACAAAGTATCTAGCGTTCACGTAGGGTCCGGGGAAGGGCCGGACCCTAAGGGGTTTGATGTAGGCAGCTTGTGCTAACACAATCGTTAGTGGCTGACACGGCTTGAACTCGTGACCTTTTCTTTTTGATAAGTAGGCTCGAACCCGTGACCTATATGTCACACGGAGACCTCAAGTTTGATAAATCTAGACACATTTTAATATAAGCACATTCTAACATGTTAATGCATCAATTTCTTGACTTGAGTGTTCCACTCTTACTAGATTCTATTAGTTTCAAGCTGGCATACATGGAACCTTTTTTTGGTTTTAGTTTCAAAGTCAGATTTTCTGCATAAACAATGTGAAACAGAATTCATGATCCTAAACACCTGTCACCTTAGGTTCATTTTTCATATCTCATTGCTTTTCTTTGACAAGTATATTTTGTATCTCATTTATTTTGCTTTCCTTGCTGTGATTTAGGCAAGAAGCTGCTGGAGCGTTATGGAATCTATCATTTGATGACAGAAATCGTGAAGCAATTGCGGCAGCTGGTGGTGTTGAGGCTTTGGTATGGTGTTAATCTAATTTTGGGCCTTACTATTTTCAGTTTCCGTGAAACTACTAGTTATGGACATACAATGTTCCATACATGGCAATAGCTTGAGCTTTGGAGTTGAGAATTGTTGTAAGTGTCATGTTTCCATACCAAGTCACAGATTTCCCATACAAGATAATATTTTCCCAAATTTACTGTACATTTTGCTGACTTGGTCTAGTTTGTAGTTTAAGAATGCTCAGCTGAAAAGTGGAAGGAGCCTAAATATACTGGTACTAGACTTTTATCTTTTTGCTAGTCAGGGTTTCATCAGTTCGTGACCCATCCTGGACAACATTATCGCATCACTCATTATCAGCATCCATATTGTTCACCGGAACAAAGATGCCTGAGGGAACAAGTATTGTATGTCGAAACTAGTGGAGAAAAGCTTCTTCTCTGGTTAAGGGGACATTAATTCCTAATAGGCTTTAGCAGTCTGATGTTGTCGAGGAAATAAAGGTGAAATTGTCATGGTTTCATCATGGTTTTAAATCCCCTTATCCAAGAATGATAACTCCATCACTGACTTCTAAGCAATCCTGCTTGTTGTGACTTGAATTTGCTAAATAATCACTATACTGCTGGCAAATTCTGTGCCGGCCGTTGCTGTACATGATACTAATTATGTGGTATCACATCGGTTTCGGTTTTTTTGATTTGCTTGAATGAGCGTTGAAATGATGGTTTTCTTTCTTTATCCATACATTTCTACAGAATATTAGAATTCCGAACCGTGTTCCTTTCTAAGTTTGAAGAGTGATGTATTCCTTTTATCTTGCCTGTTTGCCAGGTTGCTCTTGCACATTCATGCGCAAATGCTTCTCCTGGTCTGCAGGAGAGGGCTGCTGGTGCTTTGTGGGGATTGTCTGTCTCAGAAGCAAACAGGTCTGTAAAATTATTAGATTTTTTGGTGCAGATGCTAGATTAGTATATCTATTTTGTCATAGGTATCATACTGCGTGAACCTATTTCTCCTTTTATTAATCTCTGCGAAGATCTTTGTACAGGCAATTTGCCTGCTGCATCTATGAACCATATCAGGCTGAATGGCTATCATAGCTTTTCCTTTTTAAAAAAAAATAAAGCTGTAGTTATTTATTTTTGTATGTCAGGTAGTTTGTTTCCTTTGTTATTTTATTTTAGTTTTTCGGTAGGTAACAGTTTTATCAAAAAGGATCCAAGGGGGATGCGAAGAGGACTAATAGACACCATATTTGAACCTCAATCCATCTGATAAACCTCATAAAAATCTTCTTGAAATTATGTAATGTACTATTAGTCCATGTACAACTAGAGGATCTCCTGCTCTGGCACTGCCACCACCTCTTTCCACCCTCATCTCTGAGTTTGGATTATTTTGTTATTATGCCCATCTTTCTATCCCAAACTCTATCTTCCACCACCTCTTCGTATCCCATAATCATTTTTAACTCATAACTTACTAAGGTCACCGCAATAATTCTTCTCCAACATTGCCATATTACATTACACACCATTTACTCTGGGTAGGTAACAGAAAGGTGTACACGTACAGCATGATGCCAACAAAAATTGGATGGAGATGAGCATAACTTAAACCACTATGTCCTGAGCGTTGCAACGTACTAATTGAATATGAAAGTTCATTTCTTCATGTTTCTGCCTATTGCTTTATGGTAAAATTTATAGCCATGTTGCAACTGCACAATTTGCTTTCTCTTTACTCGATTGGATATTAATCCAATTCATAATTTATTGAATCCTGCAATAGTATTGCCATTGGACGAGAAGGAGGTGTGGCGCCACTTATAGCACTTGCACGATCTGATGCTGAGGTAAATCTTTATAATGTGAGGCTTCTATAGAAACGTTTTTCTTGCCTGCCTGGTTCTTGCTCTTCCATGCTGTTTGCGACTTGTGAAGACTTAATTTGTTGACTTGTTAATTTTAGTTACTACTCTTGAACTATGACAATTGACACCCTTCCTCAAAATGTAATTGAATTGGGTCCTTGTATATCTTTTAAGTTCATGCTTAACAGTTAGCTATATTTATTTTGTTTCAGAACAGATTGTAAATTTAAATATAGATTCGGCAGCTAGAAATCTTTTCTAGGGAGATCGACCCGTGGTTCTCAGTACCTTGCTATTATGCTACTACTAATTTTGGCACCTCAACATGGTTATGTTAAAGGGAAAGTAAATCACTTTTTTGCATCTAAGGTTGTATCATTTATTGGTAAACTGTTTTTCCATTTTCCTCTGGAAATTTTTTAGCCGGAGTTAGCTAGCTCTTCAAGCTTAAAAAGAAGAATTAACCAGCCTGTCCAATGATGGCTAGGCTTTAATAAAAATATATGTTCCTCAGAGTTGCATAGTTTAATAGGTAAATGTAGTATTTAGAATCTTTCTGTACTCTGGAGTAGTTTTAGGTCTAAACTCTTCCGTTGCATATTGGCTACTGGAGCTGTTATTAATTCCACCTTGAAAGTGCTAAAGTATCCAAGTACAAGAGCTGCAAGTGGGTAGTAGTTCTGATGGCGTCTTTCACATAATCGCTGATGTTGTTTTGGTTAAACTGCGATCTGTAGATGTAGCATACATTTGACATTTGTTTATGTACCTACAAGCGGTTTTAAACTAAACTGTGAAGCCACTGCTTTGTTGATTGGCATGTACTCTGAATCAAATAAGTTTTTCTGCTTTCTGGAGTATGAGGCTTATTATGCTTGTATATTCCTAAAATTTCCTCTTTCCAGGATGTCCATGAGACTGCAGCTGGGGCTCTCTGGAATCTTGCTTTCAACCCTGGTAATGCTTTCCGTATAGTGGAGGAAGGAGGGGTTCCTGCCCTCGTTCATCTCTGTTCGTCATCTGTCTCAAAAATGGCACGCTTTATGGCTGCATTGGCGTTGTCTTATATGTTTGATGGAAGGTACTTGACAATGTCTTCATCCGTGAAACTATATACTAAACAGCATCCTATGCTACATACGGTATGCTATTTAGTATAGATTTTTTTGAATGATTCTCTTTTTTTTTCCACGAGAGCCGTCTTAGGACGATATTTATTTTCCAGAAGCCATTTATTTCTGGCATTCTTTTCACATCATATTTAGCAATCCAATCTAGCTATAGCTGTTTCAGAGGAGACAATTAACTGGAGCAAGGTCTCTTCGTCTTTTATTATGCTCAACAAGTATGCAGTTTCCATTCTTCCTTAGGTGTCTCATGTCTGAGCTGTTTAAGATTGAGGAGTAGGGCATTGTCATTTGAAGATTTTTACCTGGGAAGCTAGGTTTTGTTTATTTTTTTTTTTTTTTTTT